ATGAAGTGGTTGAATACAAAAACATCCAAGACAAATGTTAATAGACGTCAACTACCTGAAAAAGAAACTTGTGTCTACTCTCAGTGTGACTGCACTTTATAATCAAGAATCACTTTGCTCTCAAGAAAACAGCACTCCCCATTGTTACTGGAAACATTTTTCCAGAAATCAAAAGAAAACCCCCCATGGACAGCATTATTCCTGAAATTAAAAATACTAAAAAACTTCAAGATCCAGTTATATGGGGGCAATGCTGGAACAATCCTGTCATTACTGAAGGCTTGTTGAATATCTTGCGATGCTATCTTCGGAATGGCCTACACTTACAACCTGGCTCACCCAGGCAAAGGAAAGGCTCTGCATTACCTTGGGCGGAGGCCGCACATAGTCCGGCTCGTGCACCACTTGGTGTTTGGACAAGGAGCATTTGTGGATGAAGGTTTTGCTACAGCCAGGGTGATCACAGGCATAGGGACGGCCTCCATCATGATAGTTCTTGATGTGGAGCTCCAGGTACGAGGGCTAACAAGGAAACAAAATGAAGGTCCACAGGTAAAAGACATTAGGATAATGTGCTGCTCTTAACTGATGTCCTGAAATCCAGGCACTGATGTATAACTGGTCATTTCCTAAATTCAGGGTCCAGTTAGGGCTGTGCCGAATATCCGAATGACCAAATAGTCGATTGTCGAATATTCGAAAATCATTTTTCGAATTTGAATATTCGAATGCTAAATTCATGAAAAGTAAGGGAAAACTTTCTTTTGTTTTAAATGAGAAATATTGCACTATGGAGGCTTGTTTCAAGCAGATTCAAATGAAAAAGTCAGAAATCTTACGATTTTAAAAGTAAATTCACAACAAAGTGATCAAAATGGAACGGACTGCCCTTTTTCTTTATGTTAGGGGATTCTGCAAAATCACGCAAATTTCTGACAAGGGAACTTGTCGAAATAAAAAGCACTGAATATATTAGATTTATAAATTGAGGAAGCATTTTCACCTTCAAGTATGACCTGTTGCAGTTTTCTCTGGGACATATAAACACTTCCTTGATCTTCTCATGAGATTTCATGTGTACTCGTAACTGCAAAACGATAAAACATTTGCCATCACTGCCGATATAGATAAGACAATGGCATATGCCTGTACTCGAATCGCAGTACTAAACTGCCAAGATTTTTATATGTGGACTCTTCTTTTTTCTGAAAAAGAGACCAATGTTGGATTGAAGGAAGAAAAACTGCTTAAAAGTGGAAACAAAACCCGTTTTGCTCTACTGTGTATGAAGCAAACTATTGTCATATTTTGGCTAAGATAAAGCCATTAACTCTGGAACTCACAAGCATGTTTGTGATGACACGCATGTACTTGAATCCTCCATAATTTAACTCAGTTCAGTAAACCAATAGCACAGTTTCAAAACTTAATATCACAAACTTCTGACATTATTGAAAACTCTCAAGGCTTTTCTGCTTGGAATCTCTTTATAGCCTCTACAACCTATCACTGATTGGGAACTTTCTTATTCAATCTCCAAGGGGCATTAAGCGCCACCTGAAGTGGAAGTGGCCAGGCACCTCACTCCTCACTCCTGCAAAACCCTCCTGAAAGCTGCAGGTGGATCTTGAAGGCGCTGACAGGATACAGTCAAACATGGTTAATACGAGCTCAAAAGGACTCTCCAAAAATCCTTGTCTTATGGTGAACCTCGTGTAATATGTGTTGACACTTATCCCATTCACAGAGTGCAAGCCTGGCATCATGCCCCAGCAAGCATTGTCGTACACAACAACAATGTACAGTAGGCCCACATGTACCGTACGGCACAGTATATGCAGTGGATTGGTATTCGATGTACACGTACCAGCCTTTAACTTTTAATAAATTTTAAATCGTAGTAGTGTTGTGGCCGTCCGCGTCACACGGCATGGCAAAGCACTACCTGGAAACTGGTACCCAATGTTGCACGTAAGTAAATATTTATTAAACTTGATGAGAACCGGTTCATGTCAGGACTGGACATAAGAGGGCACTGACATTGGGGAATTTCCATTGGTTTTTAATTGGCGGGAGGGGATCTATTTTGTACAAATGTTTTTTCGATTTATGGAACAGTAACTTTCATTTTCAATGTCATAAATCAATGGGTTGTGCGACAGGGTTGTGCGAATTTATTTTGAAAGGGGAATGTGGGACATTGGTTAACTGAAGGAAAGGAACTTTAGAAGGGTGTAATTTCCAAAACCTATTTAAATATTCCCTCAGAGGAAGCTATAGTGAACACGGCAGGATCACTTGTGCATTTGTTTTCCTCGGCATCCAAACTTCCGTCCCATTTATGATTTTGAGTCAGGTTCACCCATTGTTTGGTGTAAATAAAAAACACCTCTTTCAGACTGGACCCGCTGTGATTGAAACTCCTTTGATGCCGCGCCATTGCATCACCTATTGTCGTCTTGAATAAAGCCCCCATCTAGCAGCACAAGGAACAGCCGCCAAGTCATCGGTGGTAAAACCGCAGCACGAATTGCCGAGCAGATTAGCATTATTGGAGACCTACTGATGCGCTCCTTCAGGATTTATTGGGATTAAGCTTTCAAAGAGGCATTTTAAACTATAGTCATTGTAAAAATGCTATGGACAACGGTTTTTGACACTGCAGGTTAGGCAAAAGTGCTCGTCTTGTTCGCGTTCTCGTCTTAGCACGGCTCGTATTAACTAAGCTTACCTCACAGGAATGTGTACATTTCAAACGGGACTGAAGAAGTATGCTCGTAGTAAGCGCGATCTGGTCTCAAGCGTGCTCGTGTTAATCGTGTTTGACTGTAGCTTTAAACTCAAAGCAAAGTAAAAGTGACATGGCTAGATCTGGTGTTGCATTTCTGTGGATTTGGAGGCGTTTGGATTAAGTACACATTTTACCTTGTGCCTCTTGAAGTACACCTTTCCACACAGTTCACATTTGTGCTCTACAATAAACAAAACAGAACACCATTCTTGCAGTTACAGTGTTATAACAGGGAGATGTACCACATGTTCGCCCATCCAACTCCTGAAGTACTTATTGTATCCAAATTTCACAGCAAATTATGAAAAAAAAATGGCTAATGTCTGGGGATGAAAGCAAGAGTAACATTTCACTCTTCATATGCAAGAGAAACACAGGTCACTTTTGTTTATGACTATAAATAATTACCAAATCCAAGTTTCAAGTTCATGCCCGATGAAAAGGGAAAATGTCTTTAAAACTAAAGCTTGGTTAGTATTTTCCTGTTTAATTTAGTGACCATATTTGCATATGGCATAATGGCAAAGCCGCCATGGCTCGCTGCTTGTTATGAATTTGAATTTCTTTCCTGTAATAACAGGAAAGAAAGAGTCATCCAAGTTATAAAAATATGGTCACTAAATTAAACAAGAAAATACTAACCAAGCTTCATCAAAATTTTTACAAGATTGGTTGACATACGAATGCAATACAGATGGTTGACAAGATATTTTATCAACCTTAGCAATAAAATTCATTGTACTCTAGTTAGTGCTATGTGCAGACTGTGTGTTGAAAGGCACCTATCATTTAAAAGTAAATCAACAAAGACCACCAAACAGGGAGATACAGGTACAAAGGCTCCACAGTTCTTTACAGGAAAGAGGAACGCCTATAGAATGTGAGTCCAGTACAGTCAGACTAGACCTGGATGATTATATAAGCAGCGCATTGTGAGTTTGATGGATGGTGCATAATTAAAATTATGACACGGAATCCCCGTTTTTATTCTGCTTTTTTACTTAAGGTAAGCAAGGAAAATTTTAACAAAATACCTGTGATGTGATCGTCTGACAAGTGTTTGCGAAGGCCAGTCCATTTGTCAAAGTGACGGCCACAGCCTTCTTTGTTGCATGTGTAACCTTTCAACGGGACAAAAATAAAATGTAATGAAACTCAAACCAAATTAGATCAGATCAAATATGTGGGCCCAACCACAGGTGTGATGGGTGGACGACATCAAAGAATGGTCAGGGTGTGAAATAACTGAAAACAGTAGCACTGGAAAGACAGGCTGTGATATACCAGGGGTAGTCATTCCACAGCGAGTATAAAACCCCACCTTTGTGAATTTTGGCATGACTTTTCAATTTGCTGGGTACTTGGAATCTTGCTTCGCATCCTTCGTGTTGACATCTACATAGAAATAAAGAAACTTGGGATGAGATTATNTAAACGGGACTGAAGAAATATGCTCGTAGTAAGCGCAATCTGGTCTCAAGCGTGCTCGTGTTAATCGTGTTTGACTGTAGCTTTAAACTCAAAGCAAAGTAAAAGTGACATAGCTAGATCTGGTGTTAGCATTTCTGTGGATTTGGAGGCGTTTGGATTAAGTACACATTTTACCTTGTGCCTCTTGAAGTACACCTTTCCACACAGTTCACATTTGTGCTCTACAATAAACAAAACAGAACACCATTCTTGTAGTTACAGTGTTACTACAGGGAGATGTACCACATGTTCGCCCATCCAACTCCTGAAGTAGTTATTGTATCCAAATTTCACAGCAAATTATGAAAAAAAAATGGCTAATGTCTGGGGATGAAAGCAAGAGTAACATTTCACTCTTCATATGCAAGAGAAGCACAGGTAATTTTTGTTTATGACTATAAATAATTACCAAATCCAAGTTTCAAGTTCATGCCTTAAGAAAAGGAAAAATGTCTTTCAAACTACAGGTACATGTAGAACGGCAAAGCCGCTATGGCTTGCTGCTTGTTATGAATTTGAATTTCTTTCCTGTAATAACAGGAAAGAAACAGTCATCCAAGTTATGCAAATATGGTCAAAATTAAACAAGAAAATACTAACGAAGCTTCATCAATAATTTACAAGATGGGTTTACAAGATATTTTATCAACCTTAGCAATAAAATTCATTGTACTCTAGGAGAAAGGAATGCCTACAGAATGTGGGTCCAGTACAGTCAGACTAGACCTAGACGACTATATAAGCAGTGCATTTGTGAGTTTGATGGATGGTGCAAAATTAAAATTCCTCTAAAGTACAGTTCTACACTTTGTATCCAACCGTATCATCCTACCCTCTACTATTCTACCCCCATCAAATATAATATCACATATCCCATATCTACCATGTCTACTTTGACTCCACCCTTAATCCCATCTATCTCCAATCCCACACCTACCTTATCTTTCCATCCATATCCTACTCCACACCTCCATGATCCTAACCATCTCTCTCTCACCCCTCCCCATCATCCCATCCATCTCTTACTCTGGCCCCCTCCCCATCATCTCATCCATCTCTTACTCTGGCCCCCTCCC